AGAGAAATTTGTATAGATTTTTGGTGTGGGAAGTGAAAACTATGACAAAGTATTTATTTAAAAAAAAAATCTGAATTTTTGTTGTTGCCGACGTCAGCAAACCCGGGCTTCAACTAAGGCTCATCTTGCCTGAGGGCTAGCCTGGTTTCGTGGGCCCCAGCAGCTGACTCCCCCCAGCCCTTGCTGCTGGAAACGTTTTTGGGCCTAAACCCCCCCAACCCTTGTTGCTGGAACTGCTCTAATAAATAGTGTAGCTGCGCGGCAATACTTGAGAAATTTTTTTTATTTATAAAAAAAGAGCGTATAGCCGCGCGGCTTTACTGTCTTTTTTTATAAAAAGTTTTTTTTTATGATTAGTATAGCTGAATGGCTATACTCTTTACATAGACACTACTGTTGATGAATGCAATCATAAAAAAATATTAGAATTTTTGGAAAACACAAAATTAGTTACGTGTTGTTAAGTTGACTACCAATGTCAAATGAATGAAATGTTAAGGTTGGGAAGATTTTGATCCCAAGCCTCTTATTTTGGGATGAAAGTTAGAAACTTGAATGAAATTTTATGCTGCAATTAGGAGAAGGGTTCAACTGGTAGCTCAACTGAGGGAGAAGTGTTTCTGTGCAATGAGATGTCATATCAAACTAATCACGCAATATTATGTCGAAAAGTTAAAACATATGGCAATGTGTTATTGGTTTGAAATTCCGCCGTAGTGACATCAGGTTTTCTCCAATGGAGGGATTTTAGAGTCTTTGAAGTCTAAACACATAAATTCAAATGTGCAAAGAGAACATGAAACATCTGTCACATAAACTAGCTATCGGTGGAGACGGTAAAATCACTAGACAGTCCACATTGTTTATTTAAAATGAATCGACTAAAGCGGCTTCCTTGTTTAGAAAGAAAAGCATTGTTAATTAAATTACTGGGAAGTGGACTTTGTTTTTGCCAATGCATGCATGCAACTCAGTCCTCATTCAGTAGAAGTCAAAAAAGTCAAGGGCTGCACCCTGCAGTTGTTATATACACAGAAGAAGAAGGGTGAAGAGAAAGAAACCAAATCTTTGCTGAGTGCCTTTGACATCCTGACCATGGCAACCATGCGAATGCTTCTCTTTCTGGCTATCTTCTATTCTGCAGGGATTTGCATGATCTCCTCTGTCACAGACCCCAATGATGGTATGTTCTTGCATGATCTCCTCTTTATGTTAATTGAAAAATGAACATTCTGCACATATATGCCTAAAAGCTCTCTTAAGGGTAGTTTGATTGATTTATTAAGCGTGTCGATCCAGCTGCTGTGCTCCTATCCTTGAAGAATTCGTGGCAAAATACGCCACCCAGTTGGGACAAGTCAAATGATCCCTGTGATTCCCGGTGGGAGGGAGTCACCTGCAACAATGCAAGGGTGTCTAGACTGTGAGTTCTGCTGTTGATCTATATTTGTAGTTAAAGGGCAATGATCTCACTTTCTTCCCTTACTATAAATTTTTGCTTATATGTGCAGGGGATTATCAAACAGGAGCCTCAAGGGGAAACTTTATGGTGACATTGTTGGACTCACTGAATTAAGATTCTTGTGAGTATGATTTGTCCTCTTTTTACCAGCATTGTATTTGCAGAATACTGCCAATTTGGGTTTTTACACGTGGTGAAGTTATATGAAAATAGTATAGCCGGGCAGCAGTACTATTTTTGACACGTGACAAAGCAGCGTAGGCGCCATGCGGTTTTTTTAAATATAAAATAAATAGTATAGCCGCGCGGCGATACTGTGGTTTTTTATTAATTTTTATTAAAAATAGTATCGCCGCACGGCTGTACTGTTTTGACACGTGGGCACCAAATCACAAGGCTTTAGGCGGGTCCTTTTTGCTTTTTTTAAGAGCACTTCCAGCAGTGAACCCTTTGTCATGGCAAGGGGGGGCTAGGGCAGCTACTATTCATGTGAATAGTAGCTGCCCTTGCAAAAGGTTGTGGTGTTTCCATTAATTACCATGGCAACAACTATTCACATGAGATTAGGGATGGCAACGGGCCGGGTAAGGGCCGGGTATGACAATACCATCCCCGTCCCCGCCCTGCATCCCCGAACCAATCCCCATTTAATAGGTTTCGGGGAATCCCCGTCCCCGTCCCCGTCGGGGGACTATTCCCCATACTCGCCCCGAACCCTATGAATTATAGAGTTTAACTCTCACAACCCAAATCCCAAATACACCCAAGTCACTCACACACCGATACTAAAAGAGAGAACAAATAGTGCCACACCCAAAGACCAGTAGAGAAATGGATTTTTCTCTCACTGATCAGACAAGCAAACGTCTTCAAATGTGCAGCCACAACAAAGAGGAGCAGCAGCTCCTTCATCTCTCTCTCTCACATGTTGCACACGGCACCCCAAATGGTGAGGCACAAATGCCCACACACCTCACCCGTTGCTTGCTTCTCTTTTGTAGCCATTCAAACTTTCCAAAAGCCAACTAGCCACCTTTAATTAATGACCACCTGCCAACCCACTTTATAATTAATGTCCATATACCAAACCCACGTTATGGTCAGCCAAAGAGAGGAAAAATTCCTTCATCATTGCACCATGCTTTGTCTCCCACTAAAGACATAATTAATCCATGCAATATCATTGGCCACTAACATTCAACAATTGTGCTTCCCATTTTTCTCTTCCTTTGGCCACGTGATTTGCTGCATGTTTCCTCTTTCCTTTGTCCAATTGTTAATAAAACACTCTATCAACAAAACACAACTTTCGGCTATACCAAAGTTGTCGACACAAGGCAAAAGCAGAAAACATTAATTTGGGCCAATTTCAACATGTCAAACATGTAAATGAAGGATTAGTGTTGCATGCCCACCAAAATTTATGAAAGTTTCGACATTTCAATCTGAGCATAAAACAGAGGAAAAATTCCTTCATCATTGCACCATGCTTTGTCTCCCACTAAAGACATAATTAATCCATGCAATATCATTGGCCACTAACATTCAACAATTGTGGCTTCCCATTTTTCTCTTCCTTTGGTAGCTTTCGGCAAATGCATGAGAAAGGAAAGAACCAATCTCTTCCTTTCTCCAAGTGGATGACATGCAACGCAACAAAGATAGTAAACAACATAATATTTGAGCCAATTTCAACAATCTCCACCTTGGCACAAATTTACCAAGCCACAGTAGATCTTCACCTTGGCACAAATTTACCAAGCCATAGTAGAACTTTCTATCGCTCATCTTCCTCTTACCAAATCAAGCTCAAGCACTCCTTGAACTTGCAACCGAAAATGTGTGCTTCAATCGAACCGGATGACCCCAACAGAAGAACCTCTTCAATGTCATCCTCATAACCAAGCCACACCAGCTGAATGTACGTGCATAAACCGCACAAACCTTAAACGCTTGAACCTCAAGCTTCTTCTGCTACAATACACGCATAGCCCGGGCGACCAAGTAGCAGAACGAACAATTTCAGCTGTCATAGGAGGGAATCATCCTCCCGAAAGATAACCCCTTACAATCAAAAAACCCTCACTTGAAAATCTAATGATGAAAGGAAAAACCCATGTAGCCATAAACAATGCTACCCAAAGTACATAGAGAAAATCAAAGCAACAAACTACACACTACCCACAAGGAACACCCACGAAAACTCTTGAAACTCCACCGTAAAGAAAATTTCAAAAGTCACCAAAGACAAGTAAAAAATCACACCCCAAGCACGGCACACCGGAATCATCGATCATAGGAGGAACATAAATTTTATCCTCCCTACGACATCCACAAAAGCACCTGCAAGAGGAATTATTAGACTCTTTTTCTTTCTTTGACTGATGGGCAATCAAATCTCAAATGCCCGTCCTTGTGGCAAAGTTGCATTTGTCCTCCTGAACATTCACCTTGGAACGCGATTTTCCTCCATTACTGCCTGATCCTTATCATCCTATTTTCATATTCATGACCTACACATTCATGAAAATCTTATTGAACTCAACAAGATAGTTTTGACTAAGTGTACCTTCCGCCATACCACTGAGTGTACAATCGTTGTTTGGCATACAACCGATTGGAAATGATTTGGTCATATATGTATTCTCCACCATTTCAGCCATAGCCCAGCATGTGCAGTCTCATCGGCAACCTCACGAAGAACACCGTCCGCTAACTGCAATCCAATCGCAGTGAGTGCCCGATTCAAGACATCATCCTTCTCCATCGTTGGAACACGTTGCTGGCCATGCTTAGATACCCTTTAGTGCCTCTTGAGCAGCCCCTGTTGCACTAACAAGGCTCTCATCTTCAACACCAAAGTCTGGAATTTTTCTCCTGTCAAAATAATTTCATATTTTCTCAACAAGTCTCCTGGTTTCATCATCACAAACACAAAACTCCACCAGATCGAAGAACTGGAGCTCTGATACCACTTGTTGTGCGCAGCGGAAGCGGATTGCACTGTGGTGGTTGATATGAAACCATTGAAACAACAAGAGCAAACTATGAAATACAGAAATCCAAACGACACAAGGATTTATACTGGTTCGGCCCGTGTGTAGCCTACATCCAGTTCGAAGACAGCGAGAAATTCCACTAGTATCCCAAAAGAGATTACAACCAAAGGAGATTAACCCTCTCACCTACCCTAGGAATTACAGAGTTTAACTCTCACAACCCAAATCCCAAATACACCCAAGTCACACTCTCACAATAATTGAAAAGAAAGAACAATTTTTTCTCTTCTTCTCACACTTGGTTGTGATGCTACAAATGAAACCATTTGCTTCCAATTTATAGCCAAAGATGCAAGAGTGTGAATGCAAGCTTCAACCTGGTCCTTCTCAGGGCTCTGAATTCAAATAACTTTTCTGGTGCCATACCTCCTTCTTTGGGCAAACTCTCCAAACTCTACTAGCTGGACCTGGCAGACAATCAGTGGATTGGAACAATTCCAATTTCGACCTACCATTCCCCTGGCTTAGACCTCCTGTTGAAGGCTAAACACTTGTGAGCAATTATCCATATCCCAACTCTTCCCCATTGTGAAAAAGTAAAATTTTGATAGGGATTATTCCACTGTATATTGCATAAGCACTAAAATGATTTTATGAACATGCAGCCATTTGAACAAGAACCAGCTTTCAGGTTTCACACCGGCCAAACTTTTCAGCTCTAAGATGGCACTGATACACTTGTAAGTTGATCCCATCAACTAGTTTATGTTCTCTATTTTTATTTCGTCTAACTGATATTCGTTCTTCGCTTGTAGGTTGCTCGACAGAAATAGGTTTACTGGTACTATTCCAGTAACATTAGGACTTATTAAGACTCTTGAGGTTCTGTAAGTAAAACCAAATCTTGAATTTCTTTGTTTTATTTTCCACTTCTAAGTAAATGCTTCTTGACAACAATTGGACTCAAGACAATCCTGTTTGCAACAGTCGGCTTGATACAAACGCTATGGCTGGATGTGTCCCCTCAAATCTTAACTACCTTACGAATGTCAATGAATTGTGAGTATCAATTTTGCAGACTCTACTGTTCTATTTAACCATCATCTTGTTGGTTGTTAATCAGATTTTTCATGGTTTATATATTCTCTTCCAGAAATTTCGCGCACAACTACTTGTCAGGCCCTCTACCTGACTTAAGTGGAATGAATTCCCTCAAATATGTATGAGTAGAAGACATGGAGCTATCATTTCTAGTTCCAATACTCCTGCAAATTGTTTGTTTTTCTGTTGTACTGACAAATCCTAATGTTTTACTCTCAGAGACCTTAGCAACAACTCATTTGACCCATCAGAAGCTCCACTTTGGTTCTGAACCTTACCCTCACTCACCACTTTGTAAGTTCTCAGGAGGTTGTATAAAAGGCTTTGTATCTCTTCACAAGTCTAAGAAAAGTAATCTTTGAAAACTTTATTTGAAATCCTTTGTTGAACTTCTCTCCTTTTATGGCACACAGAGCCATAGAATTTGGATCACTTCAAGGGGTTGTGCCAGAGAAGCTTTTCAGCCTTCCAAATTTACAGCTAGTGTAAGTTCCAGGGAGAACACTCAAGAATACATGCATCGAAGTTCACTGTAAATTTATGAAACTGATCATTTTTTTTAACTCTTGACAGGAAGCTCAAATACAATGCGTTTAACGATATGTTGAACATGAGCGATAGCATCAACCCACAACTGCAGCTTGTTGATCTGTAGAACAATCAGATTTCGAGAATAAGTCTGGGTTATGAATATAAAAATACATTAATGTGCGATAGTTGATGGGCCTTGATCTTGATTTCCTATGATAATTGTGTATTTTCCCCTCACCATCACTCTTTGTTGTCACTTTTACAAGTTGCAGACTTTTCGGGAACCCGGTCTGCAGCAGTAGTTCTGGTGCATCAAATGCTACTTTATGTCAGCCTCCTCATCAAACTACAAAATCTTAAATGGTCAAGATGAGAGCTTTTGGCCAACTTGTGGAAAATGGTGCAAAAGTGGGGATGCCTGTTGTCTGCCGCGCAAATCTCACGGCCTGGAGTTCCGGGCCGAGGGGATGTGCGTTAACACGTGGTTTCCTACTTTTGGGTGCGGTGCGGTTGTGCGTGGGCGTGCCAGCACGGTCTACCGTGCGTCGATGTGTTGATGAGTGTTGGATGGATAAGTGGTGCGCCTGTTTGATCTGTCTTCCTAGTCAAACGATTGTAGCCGAGAGAGGAACTGGTCTCGGCTGTTAGGTTCACGGCCTGAACTACAAGGCCGTTGAGTGATGGTGTTGGTGGTGGGTTCTGGGCGGTGCTCCGGCACGCTGCTCAGGGAGCGACGGTCGTGTGATATATGGGGTGAGTAAACGAACAACAAGGATGGTGCTCCGGCGCCTTGAAAATCAAGGGTCGTATGATATATTGATGAATGAATTTTCCTTACAATCTAACACTACTCCTAGGAAAGCAAGTACAGATATTGAAAGTGCATTACAGAAGAAAATAAGTTGCTCCGTGGGAGGCTTGTTTTGGTGTTGAACCTTTTGAATGTAGCTCGAGTCTTGTATTTATAGGAAGAATCCCTGGATGAGTAATCGAGGCTGAATTTACGCATAGTGGAGTCTGATTAGCGCAAGTGGGCAATCCAATCGACATTTGGGATCGTGAAGTATGGTGATGAGACCCCAGAAATCCTGGTGAATCTCGGCCGCCGCGCTCAATCAGCCTCTGGCCGTGGAGACGCATTTATGGCCTGGATAGCTGGTGAACCAATATCTAAGGCTGTCAGAATTCTTGTGAGAATGTTCAGGTCTAATCACTCTGATCCTCATCACCAAATCCTGACTTCAGTCACTTCCCACCTTCCCTCATGCATTAAATGCCTCTTTGTGGCCAGTGGGTTTGCTGCAATAAACAGAGGCATTGCTTCATTAAATGAAGCGTGGGACCCTGCTGCCACTTGATGATCTGACGTCCTCGGCCTCGGCCTGCGCTTGAGGCCGAGATGATCATGCCTTCGCATTTCTTCTTTTATCTTTAGGAAGGCGAAGTACCCTGGCGAAACGCTGCGTTTCAGTTTCTACGAACAAGCGCCAGGGTCGAGAGAAGGGGCTCCTTCGGCCAGCTTATGGCCGTGATTCATCAGGCACAAACACCTGTGGAGCTTTGTTTGTACCATATCTAACCTTACACTCATACTGTGACACGTGGAATGGTAAGCTCTCCCAATTGCCTCGATGAGCAAACATTCGGCATCGGCTACCGATCAACATGCAAAGCCTACAATCGGCATGCATCGGGAATTCTGCGGAGCAAACCTCGAAGGCCCCACCTAGATATCCACAGACTCATGTCGACCTCAGAAGACCCTCCCCCGAGTCCCACATCGAAACTAAGTGCTAAGAGCATTCCAAATGCCCTCTATAAATAAGCCCCTTCACTATAGACAAGGGGTAAGACTTTCAGCTTGACTTTTATGCCAAATACATTGTCAGTAGAAATGCTCTTAGAAAGAAACTTACTTCGGCATCGGAGGGTCTTAGGCTGGTATTACACCGGTGCCATAGACCTCACAAGCCTCGGCTCTTCTTGATTCAGGATCGGCATCCCAGGAAGGACGGAACCTGCGTCAAGCACTCAATCGATCCCTGGATCGTCCACATCACTTGTAAGTTGCACCTATCTCTATCTGTTCTGTTTTAGTGCCAACAGATTGGCGCCTTCTGTGGGAATCGATTATCGATCAACCCATATCTCAACCTTTTTGAGCCAAAAATGAATCCATCTTTATCCCTCCCTACCGATGGTCCCATCATCGACCTCGGTAGCGGGGCGAGCCCCGCTCCCCTGCCTAGCACCCCCCAGACAGAAACTCCCGTTCGACAAAACACTCTGGAGGCCCGCATGGAAGCTCTGCAAAGAGAAATCGCAAAAATGCAGGAGCACAACAATATCCTCTCCTCTAAACTTGATGACACCCAGAGGCAACTTCACGATCAGCGATCGCACTCAGCCCAGTTACAGGACGGTCTGGAGCGGACCATGCAGCTTCGGTAGGAGAAGTCATTCAGAAGCGTTCCGAAGCCTAGCGGTCGGGATAAAGGAAAACAACAAGCCACGGGCAAACCATCTGCCTCTCGAAGGCTGTTCGTGCCCTCCCCAGAGGAACGTCGCCTAGAATACCAAGTTTACTCCGACAACCGGGATAGGATCAACGATCGACGCAAAGAATGACAGTCTTCACCCATCCTGATCCAAGCAAAACTCAATGATCGGCGTTTAGAGGTACTCGGATCGAAGTCCCCCCTACGCTGAAGGTACGATGCAATTGGCTTGGAAGAGATGGACGAATCAGATTATGTTCCAACTTCACCAAGAACCACCATCTCCCACCGATCGGCAGGACCAGGACCTTCAAAGAATCAGCACCATAGCTACCGATCAAACGAGGAAAGCAATTGGCACAAGGGAGGCTACGGGAGGAACTCCAGCCGAACGGCAGATCAAGAAACACATGGTCGCAATGTCGGCCGACGGACAGATAACTGAGTGGCGAAACCCTTCTATGACGACCTTCCCCCTGTTGATCCAACCATCCGCCTCCTCCTCCAGAAAATGAACCGAATTGAGGAGGAGCAGAACCAAGCTCTGACACCAACTTGGGGAAAAGTACAACCGGGACCATTTACCGATTGCATCCGGACGTTCAGACACGAAAAAGAGGTCCAAGCACTCCGAATATCGTTCTACACAGGGGTGGAGGATCCCGTGACCCACATCCATACTTTTCAATCGGCTTTGGGTTGCAAGGGGCTCACCGATGAAGGCCAATGCTTACATTTCCCCTCCACCCTGGCTGGAACCGCCTTGAATTGGTTCTACCGGCTGGAGCCAGGTACGGTTAACTCTTTCGATCAGTTAAAACAGACTTTCCTCAACCATTTTTTGATTCAGACCGATCGCCTATATTCTGCCGATGATCTTTACACCATCCGGCAACGAGAGGACTAGCCCTTAAAGGAATATGCGGCCAGGTTCAGCCACGAATATTCTCGATGCCCAGAAACCGAAGACAGGGCGGCCTTCGATCATCTCAATTTCGCTATCTGGTTCACAATAGCAACTGGACCACACCTATGCCGAACTGATGAAGTAGACAGCTATCCACGCAAAAGCCAAACATTTCAACTCCAAAGGGTCAGCTTCGTCACCACCGGACACAACGGCACCTGTGGATCGACCTTTTGCGCTAGCCTGCGACCAATTCCCTCCTAATCGGACGACAAACCAGGCCCTCTACCGAACGGCACCCCCTGTATCCGCTTCTTACGAAGCAAAAGACAAGCGAAAGGACAACTTTCAGGGTTGGCAGGACAGTAACAAACGAAGCGGAGACTCCGGTAGGCGGAACAACTTCAGTGATCCGAAGAAAAACCGATTGGAAGAGACCTTTACTCTGCTTAATACCACCTACGAGCACGTTCTCATGACGGAGAATCAGATGATTCCGAAGCCAAATAACTGCAAGCTCCCTCGGCAGAACGAGAAGGACACTGGGGTGTTCTGCCGATACCACCAATACAATGACCATGATACGGAATCATGTATCGCGCTTCGCAAAATCGTCGAACGCCTCATCAACAAGGGAAAACATGATCAATACCTCAGTACGAAACCGACCTCAGACCAACAAACGAATCGGCAGATCAATATGATCAGCGGAGGGGCGCCCATTGCCGACACCAGTAATCATTTTATTAAAGGATACGTCTGTGCCGTTCAGCACCCCCAGGTCGTCAGCATACCTGGGGGATGCAACAGCAAGATCCGACAAATCGGCTGAGAGCCCATCACATTTTCCAAGGAAGAAGAGAAAGGTATTATCTTCCCCCATTCCGATCCTATGATCATCCGAGCCGATATCTCATATTTCAACGTAGGCCGAATCCTCATTGATACTGGAAGTTCGGTCAACATGCTCTTTGCCGACGCCTTCGGCATAGAGCGTCAGCACCTTAACAAAGACATCACCCCATAATAAGCTTCTCAGGCGACGTCATCAAACCGATCAGAAGCTTCCAGCTCCCGTTCGCCCTCGGCATCGCCCCTAGACGAACGATCATCTACACCCACTTTCTCGTGGTCGATTGTCCGACAGCCTACAACGCCATCCTCGGCAGGACAGCACTGGCCTAGTTGAAGGCCATGTTGTCGCCCCACATGCTCCTCCTCAAATTCCCTACGCACTCTGGCGTCAACCAAGTGCGTGGAGATCAATTGAGCGCACGGACTTGTTACGTATCGGCCACTAGAGAATCGGCAAGGATGACAGCACGCGAGTCATGCATAGTCTCCACCGCCAAGACTATTCCGAACGGCCAGGGAGGAACCACACAGCCTGATGACCCTTGAGACGAAGCCGTCACTCCACAAGCCCAGCCTATTGAAGACATGGAATCGGTAACCCTCTCCGAAGCACAGCCCGATCTGCAAGTCCGGATCGGC